CGAACTCACAGAGATCCACCTGGCTCTGCCTCCCGAGTGCTGGGATTAAAGGCGTGCGCCACCACCGCCCGGCTTATTTATTTATTATGTATACATAATAAATATTCTGCCTGCATATGTCCCTGCAGGCCAGAAGAGGGCACCAGATCTCATTACAAGTGGTTGTAAGCCACCATGTGGTTGCTGGGAATTGAACTCAGGACCTCTGGAAGAGCAGTCGGTACTCTTAACCACTGAGCCATCTCTCCAGCTCCTGGCTTTTTCTATTCAGCATAATGCTTTAAATTTTTTTTTTTTAAATCACATTTGAGTGTGTGTTTGTGCATATGTGTGGTCATGGCATGCATGTGGAGGTCAGAAGGCCACTTGTTGGGGTCAGTTCTCTACTTCTGCCATGTCCTGGGGATTGAAGTAGGTCATCAAGCTTGGCAGTGGGGGTCTTTTACCCACTGAGCCATTGTACCAGCTCCAGCATGTTTTCAGTACTTCATTCTCTCTCTCTCTCTCTCTTCTCTCTCTCTCTCTCTCTCCCCTCTCTCCCCCCCCCTCTCCCTCTCCCTCCCTCTCTCTCTCTCTCTTTCTTTTTTAAAGATTTATTTATGTACACAGCATTCTGCCTGCATGTGTGTCTGCAGACTAGAAGAGGGCACCAGATCTCAGTACAGATGGTTGTGAGCTACCATGTGGTTGCTGGGATTTGAACTCTGGACCTCTGGAAGAACAGCCAGTGCTTCTAACCTCTGAGCCATATCTCCAGCCCACGTCATTCCTTCTTATGGCTGAATATTTCACTGAATGAAATGTATATGTCTATGCCCATCTCTTCATTTTTATCATCTATTCATGCCTATCTTTTTCTTTCCTCTTCTCCTTTCCAGTTGCTGCTTTCTTCCAAGATCAGGCAGGAGGAACTCTCCTTCTCCACCCCTCAGTGAAGAGAAGGACCACTTAGAAACATGGGCTCCGGTGATGGACTCTGAGGGCCCATCCTTAGAGAGTCCTATGCTGCCGCCCAGCTCCTCACCATCATGCTGTGATATTGCAGGACCCGAAGAAGGACTCTCTGTGTCCCAGCCTGTGAGAAGGGCTGTGGGAGGGGACCATGCTGTGCCTTTGGACCCTGGTCAGCTAGACACTGTGGGGGAGGTGAGCTGTGGTTGAGCTCTAGGTTCTCTTGGGTGGTGGAGAAGCTGCAGGCCACAGTCGCATTCAGGTGGGGTTGGGCACAGGGCAGGTTCAGGGGAGTCGGGCTGTTTGGCACCCTCCATCCATATCTACTCAGGTTCGCTATGCAGAGGTTGGTTGTGGCTGCCTGCTGTGTCTCCTCCATGGGAATAAACACCACACTGGTGTTGTTAAGCTAAGCACAGGGCCCAGAAGCTGTTGGTTTTAAGTAGAACTCTATTTACTTCTGCAGGAGCTTAGTTTCTTCAGGTGCACTGCCACGGGTGAATAGTTTGGGGAACCTCTTCATGGCAGATTTTTAGCTGCCATATTGAGTACTGTACCAACAGAATGCTTGCTTCTATTGTTACATTCCCATCTTGGCAGGCTGCAGTTTTTGCCTGGAACATTTTGGTTGTGGGAGGCCTGCCTCTTGCCTGCCTCCTTGTGTGGACAGGGTGGTGAATATTTATTCACCACCTCCTTGCTTGTCAGTAAATGGCAGTAATGTGACTCTTATCGATGGGATTTCCCGTATCTTCCAAGACCTTGGCAGCTTGAGTGGGCCCTGAGAGCTGCAGGCAAGCAGTTCCAGACCATCGAGGCAAAGTGGCTGGCTGCAGCCAGGGGGAGGGAACAGTGCAGAGGCTTTGTTTTGGCCGAGGTGGCTCTGGGCTGCCCATCTTCTGCTCAGAGAGCAGAGCTGGTGTTTCTGCAGGGGTAAAGCTCTCTTCTCGCTGAGTCGCAGCCCCTGGCCCGGGGCTTTAGCTGCCCCAGTGCCCACTGCTGCATGGGGAAGAAGGCCTCACGCTCGTCCAGTGGGCACACAGGCTCTGTTCCTGCCTGGAAGGGAGAGCTCGAGGGATGAGATGGGGAACCACGTGCTCTCCTTCAGACATTGAGGCTTCTGCCCTCCTGCTGCCGAGATCCTGATCGCAGAGAGCAGGGCCTGGGCGCTGGAGTGCTAGGGTGGGCTCTGCTGGGCTCCCCTGGCCGCTCTGCTCTTAGGTGTGTGGGCTCTTTTACTACTGGCCTGTGTTGTGGGATTGTCAATGGCATTTAGTTCAGAGTTGAGGGGCCTTGGCCTGAAATAAAATACAAGTATTGAAGACTGTTGTTGCAATTTGTGTCTAACAAGCTGTAGCAGGGAAGGAGGGAGAGAGAGCTGGCAGGAGTTACTTTCATAAATCATGAATTTATCAGCGTGGAAATAACACTCACCGCAGAACTGTGTGCTGGAGCTCTCCTGCATTGTGTGCGAGACTCAAGTTCACCGCAGCAGGAGGGACTGTTTTCCAAAGAGCCAGGATCCAGCTCTTCTCACAGTTCTGGGCATGAACCTTGTTAGGTATAATTTACCTGATGCGCTTCCATCTTCGAAGCCTGTCTGAGGTGCCAGGTGCTAAAAGAGAAATAAAGTTTGTCAACAGGCAGATGCAAAGCCCTGGCTGGCGTTCATCCCTCCTTCCTGGCCGCCTCCCCTGGGTCTCTCCTTTATATGATGCATCAGAGCGAAGCGAGGATGGAAAACCTACAGAGGCAGATCCAAAATGTCAAAAGAAGTTCATTTAAAAGGGGAAAAAACTCCATACACAACCCTCACAAAACCCGACAGATGCTAGGCTAATGGCATCCACTCTGCCGATTGGTGGGGATGGCTCATGAATATTAATGAGTCCAATGCTCCAAATGGTGCAGCTGTGAACCCAGCTGTGCCTGAAGCTCTCTGATCTCAAAACTTCCAGACAGGAGCCGGAGGTGGTCTGTGTCAATTCCCTACTCAGCCAAAAAAACAGCAAGCTGGATTGGCCTTCTTCTGTTCTCCTCTCTCCTCCTGGAGTTGGTGCTAGGCAGTCAGCTCTGCCAGCAGGCTGGGCTGCTGGGACAGCAGGCGCTCTTCAGACATGGCTGCGATTTCTCAGACTCCCAGCTTTTTTAATGATCCATTAGCAGCAGTGCGTACAACAGCACCTCAGTTAATGTGAGGCCGGGCGCCTTCTCGTCTCAGTCTTGTGCTGAGTTGAGTATTGGCTGGAGAAGATGTCCAAAGAAGGAGCGCGCTTCTAATATCGTGGGCCCACGTACCAGAAAAACAGCGAACCCCCAAGAAAATTTCTTTTTATCTAGGCAATGCCAGAGGCCTCTCTCGCATTTTTCTCTGTCCAATGTGTGCTGAAGTCTAGTCACCACAGCTGGATGGCCTTCTCTGTGAGAGATGAGTCACTGGCTGTGGGGAGTTGCCCTCTGAGTGATGTAGAGTCAAAAGTGTTCTTTGTTTTGATCTGAGGTTTGAGGCAAGTTTGGTGCCTGCTTTAGTCACACTTTTGTGACCCAAGTCTAGTCATCCCCTTAATCTGAGTTGGTAGAGACCTGTGGGGAGTGCCTGGAGGTTATTTGGTAGGGGCCTGTGGGGAGTGCCTGGAGGTTATTTGGTAGGGGCCTGTGGGGAGTGCCTGGAGGTTATTTAGTAGCAAAAATGAAGGTGGGGAAATTCCAGGGCAAAAATAGTTTCCTATGGGTTGTTTGATTTGATCAGAATCAGCAGGGTAGACAAGCCTCATACTCCATTTCTAGCTGGGTGTGACTATAAAGACAGTTTTGAAATGCCTGGACAGGACTTGGAGTGATGTGTGTGTGTGTGTGTGTGTGTGTGTGTGTGTGTGTGTGTGTGTGTGTGTGTGTGTGTGTCATTTGTATACCCAGTGGGCCTGATCTCTGTAGGAGGTACTTTCCACGCTCTGTAGAACTAGGGCGTGGTGACACTTACAATTCCAGCACTTGAGAGGCCAAGGCAAGAGGGATGGCTGTGAGTTTAAGGCTAGCCTGGGCTACAGAGGGTGTTCAGGCCATCCTGGGCTATAGTATGAAACTCTCAACAAAAGCAAATAAACCTCACACCGTTCTTAGTTTTCTGGCTTCTGGGTCTTAGGTTCGCACCTCTGAGTCCTAGATGGCTCCTACCGTCTAGTAGCTTTGCTCAGAGAGCCATCCCATACCAGATTGGAGATTAAATTAGTTCCATATTGGTGAATTTGTATACCACAACTCTTACATGGTATTCTTAACAAGTTGAGGGAGCTACAAACAGGTCACAGGATTCAAGGGTACTTCCAAGTGTAGAAATGGTATCAGAGCAGCCCCTGGCCTGACTTCACCAAGGCTGCAGGAATGTTGGATTGGGGTGCCTGGCCTTTGTAGATGCAAGAGCAGCACACTGCAGAGGCGCTGGGAAGCCAAGCAGATAGGCATTATGGCTTCTTCAAGTGTGTGGGCAGGGGGCAGCAATCCCAAACCCGAGGGCAGCGCTGCCAGCAGGGAGTCACTTGTGTGCAAGCCATGGAGCCTGGATCACGGGACCCTTTGGACTCGGCGTGTCCTGCTTCCTAGTCTCTACCACTCACTGTGCTTTCTTCCTGAAAGTTCTCAGCCCACTTTGAAAGTGCTCGCCTACCTCCACCCCAGCTCCTCTCTAAGGAACTGTTGTGGAAATGGCTAGAAAGACCAAGCGTGTGCTTGTCCCTTCCAGCAGAGCCTGTCCTCACATCGCAAGAGAAGTCATGTCTGGAGAGAGAAACAGTTCTGCCTTGGCTGTGACTAGATGTGGAAGGGAAAGCTGGTGACCTCAAGTCTCAGGTGCCATCAGCACCAACAACTTCTGCTTGAAGGGCTAGCAAGAGCTACCATACTCCTTAGGAGCTGAGTGCTTCCTTCCGGTTCAGGGCAGATGGGTCTACTCCTCCCGCAAAGCAGAGAAACCCCAGCACTTCACAGTGTGGAGTAGAGAGACACTAGGTGGCCAGCACTTCACAGCAGTGAGTACAGAGCCGCTGGCTAGGGAGGTGGAGTTAGGAGATCACCGGGAAGTTGGTGAGGGTGTGCCTGAGCGTGGCCTGAGCTTCGGTTCACGGGAACCCACCAGCCGTAATTTTAAGTCTTTGCTGTACTTCAACCCCTTTCTCTCCCATTCCACTAATGCAAAGGGGCCAGCTTGTCATTTCCTTCCACAGAGAACTAAGCTTGTATGTCTCTTCCCTTAGTGGCTGTTTTGGTCAGGGATCCTGGCCCACCAGCAGCCTGACCTGGGGCCCTCCAGCCTAGAAGAGTGAGGGCCCCAGGCAGCCTGCTGGAGACAGCGCAACCTGCCTGCTGTAAGCTACAAGACTTAGATCTATTCTGCCAATTAGGGCACATCTGTTCGGAATGCTGAAAGGCGGGCGCTGTCTCTTTAAGAGGCATCCCACTCCTCTCCTTGAGTGATGAGGGCTGAGAGCACAGGGGAGTCAGATGCTGATTAAACAGTCCTACCGCCGAGCTCTGTTAGAAAATTACTGTAATTATGATCTAGTCCCAGCAGAGGGATGAGTTCCAATCCTGCTAATAACCCTTCCAGGTGCCTCAGCTTCAGTGCCCAGGGGAGGCAGAATCGGCAGGGCTCTGGCTGGCATCACGGCAGCCTGGCCCTCCTGTGTGGCCTGCACAGCAAACACAAAGGCACCAGAGCCTCATCCTGTCTCGGGGCCTCCTGAGGGGGGGGGTGGATTTTGGTTAGTTTTTTGTTTTGTGTTTTGGTTCTTGACAGAGCTCCTGGGAGTCATTTTGTACGAGAAAACTTCCCTCTAAGCTAACCGTGACGACCAGGAAAATCATAACCTCAGACAACAGTCTGTCCTGAATCTCCCTCTGGTGTCAGGGGGCCGCAGTCAGTACCCCCAAGTGCAACGTGCAGCACCAGTCTGACCCTCTTCAGGGGATTCGAAGGGATCCTGGCCTGCATGCTCCTTTGCTGGGTTTCCGCCTCTTGCTCTGGAGTGGTAGTGCTGTTCACAGTCCCAGGAAACCCATTCCTCTGCTGCCCTTCCCAGTTCCTGCCCTGGCCGAGGGGGACAAGGGCAAGGAGCCCAGAGTTCCAGACTGGCAGGCCTGCAGCTCTGGAGCCTCGAGGCTGGCCCTGGTCAGTCAGACCCTGGTCCTTTTCCAGTCCAGACCTGCAGCAGTGCAGGGCTGGTGAGCCCACCACGGGCAGGAGCCGCCTGCCTGACGCTTCAGTCCTGAAGGACCGACCGGTGGGCTTGTGTGCTGACTCCCCAGCCCCACCAGAAACCACCTCTGTGATTCTCATCTAGTGGCTAACGCACAAACTTCGAAGGCAGGGCTTGGCTCCAAGCATGCGCCAAATGCTTGAGCCTGTTCTCAAGTGAGGGTGGGGTAGGATTCTGCCTCAGGAGACATTTGGCAATGTCTGGGAGCTTTTTTGTTGTCGTCAGTATGTGTGTGTGGGGTACATGGAGAGTGAGATGATAGTGATGACCAGGAATGCTGTTTAATGTCCTATGGAGCCGTCAACAAAATAGATTTTCTGACCTCTGACCAGATGTGGAGGCTCACTCAGAATCCCGACACTGAGGAGACTAAAGCAGGATGATTGCTGTGTGAATGAGGCCGTCTCGGGCTACAGAGTGAATCCCAGAGCAGTGTGGACTACAGACTGAAATCCCATTTTAACAAGACAAGGGGATGTAGCCTGGTTGGTACAGTGTTTGCCCAGCTTGTAGGAAGCTTCGGGGTTCAGTCCCCACCTCTGCATATATGCCTGGGAGGCAGTCGAGGGTTAAAAAGCCAAGGGCATCTTCAGCAGTGTAGGGAGTTGGACATCAGCCTAGATTTCTTGAGACCAGGCTCAACAAAACAAAACTTTCTGGCCCAACTTGCTGAGGTTGAGATACACTACTCTGCCACTGTAAACTTAGAGATGTTGGAGAAAGGACATCAAGTGTCCAAATGCCAGATGCCTTCCTAGAGGGTGCCAGTCCTGGGAGCAGTGGTGTGTGTATACTACCGTGGAATTCACAGTACAGTGAGGCCAAGTGGCCAGTGGGTGAGAGGGAAATGTTTGTGGCCTGTTTTCTGTCCCACGATGGCCAGCTGCTCACCATCAGGTGCAGAGTGTCTGCAGTGGAAGCAGATGCCCTCTTGGAGGACCAGCACTAGAAACCTCTTGGAACAGCTCCGGTCACAGGAGGCAAGGAAGTGTCAGACTGTTGCCCAGGGCCACAGAATGTTCTCTTTCTGTGGCACTCGGCCAGGTGGAAATGTGGAGGATTGTGATGGG